CGACGTTGCTTGAAGCGCATCCACCATAGACTTTGCATGTAAACCTGCTGCTCCTGACGCTGAAATCGCGTTCGGTGTGAACGCACCATTATAAGCACTGCCTCCACATGGACAAACAGGTCAGTCACATGCAAAAGAGGGCCATCGCCTAACAACTCTGTTGTTCATAGAGGGTAATGTGCCCCATCACCTGACTTATTGGTCTGGATGCTTCGGCTGTGGTTCTTTAGTGTCATGTTATGTGTATGTAGTGAGTGCAAGCGGGGTTCAACGTCCAATTACGTGTGAAGAATTAACATATTTTAGTTTGAGACTTTAAAATGAGAGAATTTAAGAACTTTGTTTTATTTGGTGAATATGTGTAGTTTTTAAATTGCAGTCATTTTTGGTCATTTGTTGGAAATAACTCAGCTTCATGTATGTCAGATTTTAGCTCGATATCTGTAAAACTGACTGAGTTAAAATAGTTGAAATATTTTCTTAATGATTTTATTAAACAAACTTCACAGACCCTGGCAAAAACATCACTTTTGTTGGCAGGCGATAAATATACAGTACCGTATTTTCCAGACTATAAGTCGCAGCAGTCAAAAAATACATCATGCAGAGGAAAAAATATATATATATTTAGAAATTTATTCCCCAAAGTCTAAGAACAGACATTTAATCTAGGATAGCACAATAACACACAGAACTCACCTGGGAAGGAAGTTACTGGTAAATTCACCAATCTGATCACGTGATTAGCTCTCGCCATTTTCTTAAATTCAATTCAAAAATACTTTATTGATCCCAGAGGGAAATTAGATTCTTTCACTGCAGTAAGAGTAACCTCTGCTCAGTTCCTCACAAGTTAATCATTCACTCTAAACTTTCTTTTCATGTCTCAATAGCCTATATGCCATGGACATCAGGTCCAGCACTTGATGCCACTCCCAACACTTCCGGTTCACGGTCAACACAGTGTTAGAGAAAGGTTTTTTTCACCCGACAGCGACTCTTAATGATCTCCACAGTACAGAATTAGCATATTACATGTACCAACATTAATACAGGAGACGTACAGGTCCAGCCAAGTGGAAAAAAATCACTCCAAAGTGGATTAAAGCCATAAAAACAAAAGAAAGACGTTCGTGTTTATGGTTCCAGAGTTTTGCCTTTTTTGCTATTCCTTGGCTGCTTGTTCGGTGAAGTTTTCACGTAGAGCTGTGACACTTATGTTGTTGGAAAGAGCAGAGTCTGGGCTTTAAATCGATGGGCTACTTGTATGGGTTGGATCGTTTCCCCCGACGGTAGTGAACTGAAAACGTTATGATTATCAGGCGGAGGTTCTGCTGCTCTCGGTGCTCGCGGGGCTCGTCACTCAGCTTTAGTCTACGCTGTAATATACACTCTAACAAGTTTTTACTTTTGCATAAAACTCGTGACAAAGTCGCATTAAAACATTTCATATAACACAAACGCGCACACGCACGCACACACCTGCTGTGTTAGCTTCCTGCTAGCTGTCCTCTGGATGAGGTCTTTCCTCTCTCGGTCTTGGCAGTAAAAGGGGGTAAATGTACATTTCCCTTTTGTAACCTCCGTCTTCTCATTTCTGATGCTGGCTCTTGAATATCCTCAGGTTAGAAATGCCGATTACAAACGCAAGCATGAGCTTTTAAAGATAAGTTTTCCCTGCTATGATCCTCTGCTGTCACCTCCTCATCAAGAGGAAAATGGAGAAAAACTAACTACTCAATCATACTGCTGCTTAGTGGACACAACGGCACACAACAGAACTCAAGTTTTATACCAGTAGATCACAGATGCTTCATCTTTTGTGACTTTTTCACAGACTAGTACTAGCAGCTAACGCTAAAAACATAGGCAGTAAGCAGGGAGTGGAAGGGAGGAGTATGGCAAGAATTTTACCGGAAATACGTCATTAATGACCGTGACATATAGGCTATTACCGTTTTGGGATGAGAAGTGGGTTTCTGCAGTCGTTAAGTAGGAGTTTTTTGTTCTGTGGGAGGAGTTTGTTCAAGACATGATTAATTGGATTGACTGTTTTGGGGTGGGGTTCGAAGAAGTTGTGTGCAGCTGGAAGTAGCTTAATGGAAACGGCCAGGAAGGTTTATGCTTCATATTTAATCTAATAATCCTCTTAGGGAAATTCCAGGTCACTCCTGAACTTCTATGCTTTCTTACTAGACTTTAATTCATATGTAAATACTTTAAGATTACCAATAACTAAAAATTGGGCTCTCCCTTAGAGATAGGGTGAGAAGCTCGGTCATCCGGGAGGGACTCAGAGTAGAGCCGCTGCTCCTCCACGTCGAG